CGGCCTGGCCGCCTCATCCCGCCTCCCAGCCCGCGAGGGATGGGGCGCTGCCCGGCCGGGGCCTCGCCGTGATGGCCCCGGAGCCGAGGAGGCGCCTCGGGGGCTGCTTCAGACCCGGCAGCCGCATTTTGGGCCGCTGCTGGATTAAGTCGGTTTCGGGCCTGCCTTTTTTGTTCCCGGGTACGCCGTGCCTGCTCCGGGGGCTGTATTACACAGGCACACCTCGGGGTTGTGACTGAAGGATCCCCAGTACGAACGCTATTAACGGTACGGCTGTCGGCGGTTCTGCTGCCGAGTGGGCACGGCCGGGCTTATTCATCGTGTGTCGACTTTTGACTTCCTTTGACTCTTTGTTGCGTGACATTTTATAGCGTGTTGCTCCTCCAGCACGATAAAGGATGGTCGTTTTACACCTTTTGTCCGTCACTCCACCTTTTCATAATCTAGATCAGAATAAATTACGGTTTGCTTTGGGCAGCAGATAAGTAAATCTGTATAACAGTAGGTTGTAATATCGGAACTAGTTATGGAAGCTAGGTCTCCACGAACACACGGACCTGGAAATGATTCTTCTTGGCACGGACTCTGTCTGATGCCAAGGCCCTTCTATTTAAAAATGCACGCTTGTAACAGTGGCCACCAAAGCATGAAACAGGCAGCACTCTCTTTGTGCTGTGGATTCCGCAGCGATCGGGATGGGCTATTACATTACTTTGTCCCCTGTTATCAGTGTTGTGACCTCACAAGTCAGTAAAACTTGAGTCATCAAGCATTCCAATGTGATGCTGAGTTACACTAGCAAATCTGACCTGTATGAGAAACTTATCTTTCCTGGTTGTTTGCAGTAATCCCCAGGGATCAGAATATAAAATCACTTATGCACAGTTCTGTAGGCATAAGTATTTGTGCGGTAAGGCAAATCTGCACTGAAAAGGCACAGATAGGTCACTTAGGCTGAACAGGTACAGCTGAGATCTGTGCTGGAGCTATTACCGTAATAGTCCTGTTCTTTATTTCAGTATAAAGAATGGTTAGACGGCATTCCACTGCCGTGCCTGTACTAGCCCTTGCGTAGTTTCTGAAAGAGATTCAGGAAAGTGAACTTAAATTTTGACTGCAGTGTTAAGATTTAAGTTGGGTCAATAATTCAATTTCAGTGATCTTATACTAATCATGGGACACTGCCAGTTCTTTCCCATGGTCTCGTTACTTGGTCTGTTTTACCTCTTTTTGGTATATTTAATTCTCTATCTCATATACTTAAGGGAGAAGTATCCATCAGGCCTCTTGAGTTGGATGATGCTTATGAAAGTATAAATGAAAGCATGCTTTCACTTCAATATTGCTTCTGGTCAAAATAATCATTTTGATAATTACGTTTTGTGTTCTTGTTTTTTGGTATATGAAGGTGGGCCAGTTTGGCCTGTTCACTTATCTATGAGAGTTGTCAGTATTAAGAGCATGCTAGTTGCGAATTTCAGTCACACATTATATACACATTGTTGAAAACCTGTTGTACCAGTTTGACTGTAACAATTTGGGTTTTTTACTTACAGTGCACAACAGGGGAACAGGTGACCTGTTCATTTAACAAGGGTGGTCTTCTCACATAACCCACTGAAAACCCTGAGACACAAGTGGTGTGTTTCTTAATTTTTGAGCAACTTAGAATTCAAGTTCCAAGTTCTTTCTCAAGATTGGTGTGATGCCTTTCATTAATAGTGCACATCTGAGTATCTGTCAAATTATTCTTGGTTGCTACAGGATAAACTGGAAATGAAACCCATGAAATGAATAGAGATAAGCTAGACTTACCTGGATGTAATGGAGGGGAGGAACTGGCTGCCTTAGTTGCTTAAGAAACACAGTGTAAACAAAATAAGCTATGAGTCATGTTGCATGTTTGAGAGGGGTAGAAGAATTGTTGTAGTGCACTGAAACTTCTATATGCTCACTATTTTAGACTTAATGGTGGGCATGGTTTGAGCTAGAAAAGAGCATGGTTATATGTAACTGTTAATAACTAGACTTGTTTTAATAAGAGAGCCTCGGTAAGACTTTCCTCCAGCTTCTTTTCTGTCTTTACGTAGCTGATCTGCTTCCTGTACTTTCTTGCAGCTCGAAGCTGCCTTCTCCCACTTACTTTACTTCAAGGTCTAAAGTGATGTTGAATTCAGCAAAATGCCTTTTTACTACTTGGTAATGAAGTTAGATATTGAACCATCGTATTTATGTTTGGAGAGGCAGAAGTAGTCTTATAATTAATAATGAGTAAGGAAATGAGATGTGGAAATATTACACCATGTGACAAAGTGTTAGCTACCGAACTGCTCAGCCCTGCCAACGTAGTGGCACTATGGGGTGGGCAGACATGGGGATATCCTAAAGCAGAATAGGCTTTGGCGCCTCATGGCTGGGCCGGCGTCTCAGGCCTTGCACTATTGTTATGTTCTAGCTGCAGGTCTGGGTTAGGTTTCCAAAATACTCTTGCAGGGCTGGCTTCTGTTGCATGGGATGAAATCCACGTACATGGGAGCCTTGGTCACGGTACTTCTGGGGGGCACAGCTGCTTCCTGGGTATCTCATGGTAAGGGACCATGTGAGTGTTACTGTGTTTCACTGCAAAGTCAGTTGGTTCACGCTAAGTTGTCATCTTCACAGTGTTAGTACAATTAGTGTTTGTGCTACTAGTATTACTTTCCTCTTTTCTCTTGAAATATAATTCCTCCCTAGAAGGAATATGCATGTCTTTAAAAGATACAAAGCTGCTATTCGTTTGAATAATAGACTACTGGTATGCTCTTTTTATTTCACCTTTCATCAGTTGTCTTGGAAGTTTATTAATGTTTACTGTATGATGAGACACTTTTTTAGGTGAAGTAACATTGTAGATACGAGAATTGATATGAAACTGTGTGGTAAGCTTTGGAGGTAGGCTGCATGTCCCTCTAAGGAAGAATCATTTTTTCCCCATAGCAGGACATCATAGTGCAACGTGACAGAAGCTCCTGACTTGGTGTTCTACTTGACCTGCCTCCTGTCAGTATCTGACAGACAAAAGTAAACTAGTGGAAAATCCAAAATGTGTGCTGCTTAGAGGCTGCCAGGATGACTCCTGTTTTATATTGTAGTATATTACCAGCCAGGAATGGGTAACTTTGCAAAGCTTTACACAAGATTCCTGACATAATGCGTCAACATCTATGAAGCAGGAATTCAGTGTGGTGACAGTATCAAATGGCACTCTACAGGCACCATCAACAGCTATTGTACAGTCACTTTGATTAGTGGAGTTGTCCAGTAGAGACAAAATAGATGCTGGGATCAGATCTCAAATGATCTCATCCTGTGTCTTCAGAATGCCGTGAGTCTCTTAGGCGGGAGTACCATAAATGGTACGAGTGGTTATATGAAGTACTATTTTTGTTCACCCTTTCCTTCTGTTGCAATCAATCGTTACAGTGAACCTGTAGGAGGTGAACCCCGTACTTTGAGCTTCAGTTTGGGGTTGGAACAGCCAAGCATTCATATTCAGGTACTATTTATACATTGAGTCCTGGAGCTAGCAGTAGAAATATGTTATTGAAATGAATAACTACATTATGTACAGTATAATGATCTTATTTGGACTGACTCTGTCAGGTTTTGACATAAATCTTCAGCTACGTTAAGGCTCTTCTAGATGAAGAAACAGTGAGATGAGACTCCTGTGTGGTGGAAACAGGGCCCAACAAGACTAAATTCTCAGGAATCAGAATATGGTCTGTTTAGAGTAATTGACTGTGTTTATGAAAATTATAGTCCAACGAAGTCTAAAAATACTCAGAAGACTTGAAGTGTGTTGCTGCATTTAAACCAAATAAAATTCAGAATTCCATGGAGTGAGGCAGGCCCCTGTGCTGTGTTACAGTGCTGCATCGCAGTGCGAGAGGACAGGTGAGAACAGGGCCAGGTGTGTATTGTTTCCTTCTGTGCTTTTCTCTGCCCTCTAAAAACTACAGCTAGATAGTGCTTCAGAGCTTGAACTTATCATAGCTCTTAGTCCAGAAAGCACATACCTGTTTAGTGACTGAGCTAAATATACCTATGAATATTTCTCCACTGTTTTATTAAGATTTTTGTGCTTTTCTTAATTTTGGTAACTTCCTTTACATGACAGAATTAGAAGGCTAATAGACCAAGTTAACTGAAGCCTCTTCA